AACTACCGTTCGAGGAGGGTGGGAGAGAGGGAGAAAGGGTTTGGCGGTGGGAAGGGAAGGAAGGAAGGAAGGAAGGGAGGCAGGGAGGAAGGAAGGAAGGAAGGAAGGAAGGAAGGAAGGAAGGAAGGAAGGAAGGAAGGAAGGAAGGCCGGGAGCAGAAGAATATCTATGGGGCGTTAACCAAGGGCCAGAGACCCGCTAAAGAAAAGGCGAAATCCAGACATTCACAGGCACACCGCAGGAACCGGGTCTGCTCTTTTGGAGACCCTCAACGCATGAAGCAGCCATTGGGGCTCTCCCCCGCCTCTTCTGCCCCATCCTCTTTGTCGCGGGCCTTTGTGCGCACCAGGTTCTACTCCAGCCCTCGAAGGCGCAACCGGACGGCAACAACGGTCTCAAGCAAAGCCGGGCCTGATTCTGCGCTTCGCCTTGAGGAGGAGGAAAAACTCCTCTGCCACTGAACACTCAGGTCCTGGAGACACCTGAGGTGGGGCATCTTCTCGCCCGAAAGGGCAGCTCCAAAGTGGCTTTTAAACCCAGGGATCCGGGTCTCTGCTGCACCTCGGAAGTCTGCCTGTATTTCTTAGTAGGCTCGGCAATAAATAAATAAATAAATAAATAAAGGGGGGGCAGGCAAAAGGATCGCAAGCACGACAGATTTGCTGTGCTCCCCCCTCCCCCTCCCACAAGAAAGGCAGATAGATAGAAAGAACAGCTTAGGTTTTGGAAATCTTTTTTTTAAAAAAGACCCCTCCCCCCGCATGCAAATCACTTTTGACAGAAGTTTTGCTTTCCCGACAGACGATAAACTTCTCCCGCCTAAGGTGGATCTGAGTGAGGAATCCCAGCTGAATGCAAACATTTCTGTGACTGAAACGGTTTGATTAAAAATAGCCCTATGCATATAACCTCTCTCTTCCCCCCCCCGCCCCCGCACACAGAGAGACAGGTTGCACTGTACCTTTTTACGAAAAAAGAATACCAGTTTGTACTATTGTGAGCTCTAATGTACTCTCCAGTGTCCCTATTCTATTTCAACCTGCACCTCTAAAGACCTCCACCTTCTACCTGAGGAGTGATTCAATAGCAGCTAACCTCCTGTCCCAAATGACACAATCTATGAATATTAAGAGACATATATATTTTTTCCCAGTGAGAATTACCGTTTGCCATATATGCTAGATCTGTGCAATCTTCAAGCAGAATTTCCCATATCTCTGTCTGAGAAATGTTCAGGGTATGCCATCACACATTGTGCTGGCTACCCATGGTATAACAGGCCCAAGCTTTAAAAATCTGCCATTAAATTTGCAGGCCTATATTCTTGCTGCCCGATACCAACTAGCCTCGTTACACTACCAAAACAAGAAAAAAATCTTGCCTTATCCATTAGAGTTTATTCCAAAATGTCACGAAATAAAGGGGAGGGGTCAGACAGTCCATTCCAACAGAAATTACTATTTTCTATTCCCCTTGAGAGGAGGTACACACACAAACACACACACACACATACTATTTTGTCACTCAATATCCCCCTCCTCGACAGCAAAAATAAAGGTTATGCCAATAAGTCGAAGAAACTATAAAGGTCTTGTGTATTTCTGTTTTATGTAGATAATAAAATATTACTTTAACATAAATATATAAGGATCTCTGCGCTTTTATTTTTCCCCACGAGCACATCCAAATGTACCAAAAAACAAAGTATTTCTTTAAAGAGACTGAACCAAAAAATAAAATAAAATATATACATCCCATATAGAATTTTTGTTTGTTTGTTTACCTACTCATTTAAAGCTACAGGAAAAAAAAAAACAGTTTCCAGAACCTGTTTGCTTTAGAGGAAATAAATATACATTGAGGCAGGCCACTTAAAAATGATACGAAAATATTTCCCTGGGTAGCATTTAAAAAGAAAAAGAAAAAAAAATAGACAAAGGAAACATTTCAACTATTTCTGCATTTCAAAGGACAAATATTCAACATATATACAGAGTGGTAAGGTTTGCTTGGTAACTTTTTTTAAAATTATTTTTAAGTAAGTCTTGCCAAGAGTTAGGAGGTCCACCTTTTCCAAACTCCTCCTGTTGACCTTACCCAGGTATTAATAAGTGTTACTCTCCCCCTGCTGCTACTTACTTCTTCCTCCCTGACCTGAATACCAATAGATAAGGAGTTTGTCTCCATCTTATTTATAATCAACAGCAGCCAGAATAGTCTCAAAAAGAAATCAGTATCCACTCTTGTTTGGATGGGAGGGGAAAAAATCCCCACAATATTGAACATAGAATAAAGAACTGCCTAGAAAGCTACATTTGTCTTCTGAGGAAACCGGGAGATGGAAATCCAGTGTCAGACTGAGGCTTAGAGCAACCCTTGGAGACCAAAATATGAAACCCAACTGACCTAATCTGTGAAGTTCTCTGAGCCAGCTGGCTTCAGAATTTTCAATAATTTCATCGGGCAAACTTTTGTCAAAATTATTAGAAAACAAGAGTTACACAGACAACCCCCGTTTTGTGCTGAGTAGATGTTTCAGAATGAATTACGACCACAGTTTCAGTGGTTACCCCTAATATGGAGTATAATACACAATTTCAAGGCCCTCCCTCACCCCCCTCTCTCCAAAACCTTCTGCCTTGTCCTTTTTGTTTGTTTGTTTGTTTGGGCAAGTGGACCATTTCCAATCAAGTCAATGTACCCATTGAAACCATGAACCAAGAGAAGGAGGTAAAGGATGAATTTGAAAAAAAAGTCATGTATGGTTTTTTCCCACCACTTCATTTAACTCTCTTCAAAAAAAAATAAGGCCCAGTAGAGTTAAACTGTTCTTTTTCATCCCATCTACATTGAGCTGATATGTCAGGCAGCATTTGGGGTGCTAAACCCTAGAGGGAAATTTTCCCACCTGCACAAGGCCTCAGCAACCTACCACAGACCTATCCCCCCCTCAGCTATGCCCTTGACTTTGAAAGCAATCCCCACAGTCCTTTTCGATTTGAAAATCAACCCCGCAATTCCAGTTGAATGAAAATCTGACTCCGGTTATCAGCCTGAGCCGCCTTCTTTTTGAATGGGTCAAATTCTATCCAAAGGAAGCACAGAAACCGCTCCCTCCCTCCCTTGAAGTCAAGCCTCCCCTTGAGATGAATGGGTCTAGGGTGGGTTTTTTTGGTTTTATCCGTTTCGCCCTGGCTGCAATTCTGCAATTCTTCTATCGTTGAACTCACAGTGGAGCTCAGGAGGTGGAAGTAAGCCAGCCCCATTTAAAGTGGGCATCCCTTAGGTTTTTTAAATCTTTGATAAAGCAAATCAAAGAGAAATGCTCTGCCTTAGGATCACAGAGCTGCTCCCTCTGAGCTTTGTTACTTTGATCAGTGAGGTTTCCCTTCAAGGGTCTCCTTTCCCCAGAATGAAGGGTTTTGCCTTCAGGGGATCCCCCTTCTTCCTTTCACATTGAAAAGCAGGTGTCAGCATCACTGTCCTAAGGTTCATGTAGTGCTGGATAGGCAAGGCATATAGGGGCCTTTCTCAAGTGAAACAATCCTCCATCTCTCTCTCTCTCTCTCTCTCTCTCTCTTCCTCCCTCCCTCTCTCTTTCCCTCCCCCTCCCTCTCTCCCTCTCTCTCATTCTCTCTCTCTCTCATTGTTAGAGTCCTCTCCCCAAAGTGCCCCTTTCTGGTGGGAAAAATTGCCAGAGTTTTCTACAGATTTTTTCCTCTTTTGGTTCAATTAATTGTGGCTTGCCCAAATGCTTTGACTTTCCCCCAGTTGACTTTCAGAGAGGTTGGACTAAGACAGCAAGGGCATGCTGGCTGGGAGTAATGGGGCTACAGCCGAACCAGATCAACTTGGACAAGGGAGGCCTAAGAGTAATTCTTCATTCTCCATTTTTTTCTTTCCCAATTCTCCCATACCAACTATCTGCGATCTCTGCTGCTGAATAATTTCAGAACCACATTTCTGGGAAGCAGCGCTTATTTATCCCCTCCCCAGCTTTCCTGTCCCTCTTTCTACTGGTTTTCACAAGATGGAAGAGCTCGGCTTTCCCTCCCTAAAGGCAGGCTAAAGGCGGCAGAAAGAGCAAACTAAACTTGACTTCCACCAAAGGTGGTCCTCAAACTTCAAAGACACCCACACAAAGAAGAAAGGCCAGATCCGCAGGGACGGGATCTACTGGGCCAGGTAGAAAATGCAAATCATTCTCCCCCCCCCACCCCACCCACTCCACAAATGAGAAAGAGATGAATAATGGGAAAACATCCATTTCCAGCAGCACAAATTTATCAGCTGGGCCTTTCTAAGCCTTCCCCCTCTTGCCTTCACCTTTGCCTGCACCTTCCCCCCCCCCACAAACCAAAACCAAAAAGTGTTGGAGGTGCACCTGTCCTAAATGCCCTAAGGAGTGGGCTGCTAAGTCAAGCCCAACTTTCTTTTTCGCTCCTCTAAAAATCTCTGGGCCTGGCTGCCCAGAGAAGAAAAAGAGAAAAACAGAGGGAGAGAGACAGAGAAAAAAGAGAGCGAGAGAGAGCGAGAGAAAGCGAGAAAGAGAGCGAGAGAGAGCGAGAGAGGGGGGGGGGGCTGTCAGCCTGCAAGCCAGCGGGTGGAAGGAAGGGCCAGGAGGCACCCCCTCGCCTCTCACACATCCCTCCGTATACTCACTGCACTCCATTGCCAGGTTACTCGCCTGTAAAGGTCAAAACACACCCTCATGCATTACCCACTTCGCTACCGTGCCAAGCATAGTTCAGTGCAGTCTCCCTTCCTTCCTTCCTTCCTTCCTTCCTTCCTTCCTTCCTTCCTTCCTTCCTTCCTTCCTTCCTTCCTTCCTTCCTTCCTTCCCGTTTTGTTTTATTTGTTTGTTTGTTTTTGTCTGCTTTTTGCTTTGTTTTAAAGGGGAGGGGAACAATCAAAAGGGTCGGAGGAGTCGGGTCGGAGGGAAAAGGCCTGGGGTCGGCGCCCTCGGCCCCCAGCCCCCTCCTCCCCCCGCCCCGGGCGGAGTTCACTGCACAGGAGTCTGTACCCCATGGTGCGGCGGCGGCGTGTCCCTGCTGGCCCCATACACGTCCTCGGCTCCCGGCAGAGCCCCTCCCGGGGGAGTCATGCGTTTCTCTTTCTGTCTCCTGTTACAAAACCACACGCGGACCACCTCCTTCTCGAGCTGGAGGCTGTCCGCCAGCGAGGTGATCTCCTGGGCGGAGGGCTTGGGGCACTTGAGGAAATGGCTCTCGAGGGCGCCCTTGACGCTCACCTCGATGGAGGTGCGCTTTTTCCGCTTGCGCCCCTGCGCCGCGATCTTGTCTATGCTGGTGGGGCTGCCGGACGAGGAGTCCGCCTCCTCCAGCCACTTGTTTAACAAAGGCTTCAACTTGCACATGTTCTTGAAGCTCAGCTGCAGCGCCTCGAACCTGCAGATGGTGGTCTGCGAGAAGACGTTGCCGTAGAGGGTGCCCAGGGCCAAGCCCACGTCCGCTTGGGTAAATCCCAGTTTGATCCGCCGCTGCTTGAACTGCTTGGCGAACTGCTCCAGGTCGTCCGAGGTCGGCGTGTCCTCGTCCGAGTGCGCCTCTTGGTGGTGGTGGGGGTGGTGGGGGGGCGGCGGGGGGCCCCCGTGCGGGTGGTGGTGCGGGTGCTGGGGCTGCTGCTGCTGCTGCTGCTGCGAGAGGTGGTCCGGGTGGTGAGGGGGCGGCGGCGGGGGCTGCTGCGGAGGCGGCGGGGGCTCCTCGTGGGCATCCCGCAGGCTGTGATGGTGCATGCCCGGCTGGCCGGAGCCCAGCATCCCGTTGACCGTGAAGCCCGGCGGCTGAGAGTAGAGCAGCCCGCCTTGGCCGCCGCCGTTGGCCGCAGCCATGCCGGGCGGCAGGTGAGCCGCGCCGCCGGTCCTCCAAGCCACGGCCGCGGCCACGGCGGCGTGGTGGCTCCCGGCGTGGTGGACCAAGTGCGGGGGTCTGCCTTGCTGCTGCTGCTGCTGCGACTGCTGGTGATGCTGCTGCTGCTGCTGCTGGAGCTCGTCGCCCCGACTGCCGGCCTGCACCACCGAGGGCTTGATGTCCTGCTGGCCCAGCGGGCTGGGGGACCACGGCGAGTCCCCGCCGTTGCCTCCCCCGCCGCCGCCGCCGCCGCCTCCCCCGCCGCCGCCGCCGCCACCGCCGCCGTGGGACAGCGCCGTGATCCACTGGTGAGCGTGGCTGAGCGGATGCCCGTTAGTCTGCAGCGCGTAGTCCGCCTGCACCAGCGCCTGGGCGTCTCTGTAGCCGGCGCCGGGCTGCATGCTCCCCGGCGGCTCGGCGTGCACCATGGGCGAGCTGGAGGTAAGCAGGCTGTAGTGGTTAGACGCTGTGGTCGCCATGACTCTCCGAGCCGGACTGAGGGCTCCGCTTAAAGGAGCCGCGCATTTGACAGCTACTTTTTCGCCTCGGGCTCCT